TGGACCATAGCCATAACTCCTCCATTTTAATTATCATTGCTTCTCCCTTCATTTCTATCAGACATTTCTTATGCATAAATACACAAACATATACAAACTTTGCCATTATGTTAAAAACTGATTCTTCTAATCTAATTCTAATGTTGTAATTATGTTGATGTTCTCAGTTACATGCAACATCTATTGCACATTTGAATCTTGATGCTGCACTTTTTAAGCCCTATGAGACAAATTGTTATTTGTGAATATGGGCTAAACAATAAAATTTGATTGATTGGCTGAAGTGTAGCCATAATCCATAACTATGAGGATTTGTAAGATAAACAAACAAACTCATCCAGTTTATATTTGTAAATTCAACAAAAACTGATGAGAAAGCAGCTGGATACTTATAGATGATATAATATTCATATGTTTAATCAGAATATACTCTATTAATATATCATATGTATTCAATGCATTTATATTTTATTCCACACCTCACATCAAGCTGCTCTCACTTGCATCATTGTTTCACAAGGCTCGTTCCCCTCCCCAGCGCCCTGCTGCTGCTGCTGCTCTCACATATCCTCCTTGTACAGTAACATGTTGTTGTCCATGTGTGGTGAGATCACATTATCTCACATCACAGGGAGATGAACATAGAAAATAAAAAGATGGCTCCTCCCACTCTGCCTTTTTGCTCTTTAACAACCCCCCCCCCAAAATCCCCACTCCCCCTGCCCCTCCTCCCCCCCCTCCCCCCCGGGACCTCGGTGTAGCAGCAGGTGTTTTTATTTTTTTTTTATTCTCGTGTAACCTGAAGATTCTTGTTTGAGACGGGGATGATCGTATTTCAGAGTTATTTTACGCTCCGCGGTCGGAGCAGCTGAGGAGTAGAAGGGAGGAGGTCGGGGTTGTGTTTGTGGGCGCCCGATGATGATGATGATGATGATGAGGGGGAGAAATCACGCCTCAAAAACACGTGGGAGAGATTACTCAAATATGCTTGCTTTGTATTCCCCCTCCCTCCCTCTGGTATCACCCCTCTCTCGCTGCTGCACGGCTCTCCCTCCCCGGCCAACTAATAAGCTGCAGCCCCCTTTATGTCTGTGGCCGTAAAGCCCCATAAATAACCTGTGTAACACTTGGCTTTCCTTGTGGCTAAAAGGCTTTGACCTTGTGCGTCTGTTGCCCTCGCGTGGGGACGGAAACGCGTGGGGACGTGAGCGCGAGGCAAATGCACAAAAAAGAGAAATAAGTGTCTGTGCATGTGTTGGATTAAATGTAGGATTCATGGGTGAAGGATAAGCATCCACCTAGGGAGGCAATTAACTGCACTATTCTTACATAATGACAGCCCACACTTTGTCAAGCAACAGCACCGGACCCTGCCAGAGGACAATCAAAGGGAAATCAAAGGATAGCCCAAACGTGCATGCGTGATGTGTTAGGATGCGTCCCCACCTTGTCATGTCACCTCATAGTAACAAAAAAACCGTGGGGTCAGATGTGAAACACCTTGAAAGTGTCGGGATGCTCCTCGCTCCTCTTACCTTTGCCGCTGTCCTCTTCCCTGTTCAGATACATGGCTGTGGGTTCTCTCGGAGCCAGGTGCGACGGCCGCTGTCTTCCTCACTCCTCCGGCGTGCAGACCGTGAACTCCGCTGATGTGATTTGTAGTAGTCGCTGTTTTGTTTGTGTGTTGCTCCTCAGCAGCGTCTCCTCTCCTCCTAGCGGATAGGTAGGGCTCACCAGTTTGAGACTCTCACTATCTCCCTCCCTCTCCTCTCTTCTCTCTCTGCCTGCCTCCCTCTCTCCCTCCCTCTTTCTTTCTCTCTCTCCCTCTCTCTAATAAGCACCGGTTCACTGTGGCTCAGAGGACAAAATGGGGAAAAGTGACTTTTGCAGCTGTGTTAAGAATCTTCCCCGCCTGCACGATCTGCTGCAGCCACATGTCAGTCATGATCCATGACAGTGCATTGGTTTTTACCATGTTTAAGTTACATGAGTAAAACCTCTTGTTTAGAAATATAGAAACATCACAATGTTTAATTATCGAGTATCCAGTAAAACTCATGCGTTCATGTATGGGTAGTTTAATCAGATAACTTTACTTACAGTGGTGAGGTCACGGTTACAGAGGTCAATGAATTTAAGACTAAAAATATAAAACACCTTGATATAAAAAGTCAATCGTTGAAAACTTCTAAGTGACAGCTGTATGTTATATTGTCAAGATATAACATTAGCTATGATTGCCAAAATATTAATACCATTTATTTATTATTAATAAATAATTAATAATTCTGACTAGTTCCAGCCTCTTAAATGTGAGGATTTATACTTTTGCCCTGATTTATATACGTTGGTCGGGTAGTAAAAAATAATAGTAGCAGGATTTCCCTTTATATTACAATAAACTAGAATTGCAAAGATATCTTAAATCAAAATGACAACTGAGTCATTAAAGCCACAACATGCTGTGTGGTTTCAATGACACATTTTAATGGATCAATTTGTAAAATCTTATAAACGCTCTGGTTTAATGTGATTAAACACTGACATAAGGAAGAAACCATCTGGTCCTGACACTTCAACTATACGTGCTCCACCTGCTGCATATCCACATCCCCATCCCTTATGCATACACTCATCTGATGGTCTCATGTTCAGGACACTGTCCTATGAAAGTGTGCAGATCACATTATTAGGAACAGGCCAGAGACTAAGAGCTCTCAGAGAGTAAATGAGTGCATCCTCTGCCAGTTTGTGATGAAAGCTAATGTGACTGCTGGGCAGATCCTCTCTATGATGCAGAAGTGAGATGTAGATTATTTATTCAGTTTGTCTTGCATCACACATCAGCAGCCCCGCCAGTGGAGGAGGAACAGTCTGTCCATGACCTTGACTTAGTCCCAGTAGAAAAAAATCCTGTCAGAAGCCAATTTGAAACAATTTCTTCAATTATTTTTCCTTCTTGTTCTGGGAGCAAATTTCCAATTTGTGACGGGACTTCTTGTCACTTGAAGCTGTTGGACTGAGACATGGAACATTATGAAATAAATGGGATAAAACTCTTGACAGTTATTAATAGCCCAGCACAAACCCTCATTTCCATTTAGGTAGAAAGGGTTAAAAAAAGACGAAATGTAATGTTTTTATTGAACTTCACAGCTGTTCAGCAGCTCTCACTGTGCCTGAGTTATATAAATATACACGTTCTCCTTACCAGCCTGTGAAACAGACTAATATTCCATTCAGTCACGTGACTCCCTCATATCACAGATTACAATTCAATAGGATATGAGTAGAGCAGGACTGTAGATGCAAATGCTGCTGTGCATTTGCAATATCACAACTAACAATTTGCCTGCGTTTTGTCAATAGAGCTTGGAAGGTAATTTGCTCAAAGCGCCCTGCAGTGATTTCCATTTGATTATATTTTGTTTTGCACTGCCCTCCATGCCATTTGTTTACCACTGAGAATCTTTTGCCATTTGTTAGGAGAATTTTCTGCGGACTACTTTGGCCACAGCCTATTCCCAGATTCTCCCCTCCCGTGCCCCCAGCATCATTGTGCTTGTCACTGATGCATCTGTCTCCTCTGGTATCTATAAATACCCCCCCTTCTCTCCCCCTCAAAAACCTGATTCCCATTGATTTAGTGACCTATATACACATCACCACCATCCCCTCCCTTCCTCCGGCTCTCTGCTCCTTCTATCGATGGTCTTACTGTCCCCACCTCTTGATCCCCCCCCCCCCCCCTCTCCATCAGTCTCTCCCTTTAAGCTCGACTCAGACTCCTCCACATTCTCCCTTCCTTTTGCAAGAAAGTATTAATGGCTAGTAATAATGGTAATAATAATAGAGGAGGATTAAGTCGTGACACATGAAAGGGGTTTTAAATGAGCATAAGAACAGTGGCTGGTGCTCATTCCCACATATATTTCAAAGTCTCGTCATTGTAGTAAATTGAAGCTTTTGGCTTAATCTGTTGTGTGTGTAAACACTGGAGTAGACAGTCTGATGAAAGGAGTCTCTCAAAGAGGCACAGAATTCAATATGAAATCTGACTCTGGCTGAAATAAGACCTGCATACAGCAGACATAGAAAGACAGCAGTACCTACCTATGTGTGTGTGTGTGTGTGTGTGTGTGTGTGTGTGTGTGTGNGTGTGTGTGTGTGTGTGTGTGTGTGTGTGTGTGTGTGTGTGTGTGTGTGTGTGTGTGTGTGTGTGTGTGTGTGTGTGTGTGTGTGTGTGTGCAGGATTAAATGAAGGTGCTGTGGTGTAATTATGCTGCAGGGTGCTGCAAAATAGCACCCTGGAAACTAATGCAATAAACAGTCATGGTGAATACATAGCAAACACCAGTGAATTAATAATGAATAAACCGCTGTCACAGCATCAGTTCTGCTGAAACGTGCAGGAATCAATATAAATCCCATATGGTCAAATCCTCAGAAGACGTATTTTTCATACTGTTATCATGCAACTTATTATAAACATGTAAAGGCACATCATTTATCAAATGACGCATAGAAATATCTCAGGTTAAAGAAAGGTGTCTGAGCTGCAAGAGACAGGAGCCAGCTTGACTGAGAATAAGACAGCGAGAGAGCTGGAGAGTGAGATCACAGCACATGATTTACTGCCACCTGAGCTTAACATACACCTGTGGTGCACACCACTGTTGACACTCTTCATTCTCTCCACCACGCCAGCACCACGGCTCCACTTGCAACCCCACACTGACACCTGGTGGCTCCACGAGGCAGCAGATCATCGCCTCACATCACCAGTCTCAGCTGTCCCTGATCCCTGAGGAGCCACTAGTGTCATCCCCATACTCTTCAAAACATGGCCCCGCTGTTTTGACTTTCACAACGCTACTGCAAACAAAAATTGGTGGCGTCAGTTGTTTCGTGTTCTGTCACCCAACCACTGGACCTTGAAAGCCCCCCCCCCCCAAAAAAATTTAATCCCCTGCACAAATGACCACATCAGGTGATTCCAGGACAGTCCATTTATTGAACAACAAATTGTGACAGGGAACAGAATTTTTTTTCATTGCATTTTTCCTTGTAAACAATGTCTAGGACAACTGTGTCATTCACCACATATATTCATAAACACCCTCCGTGTCGTAGAGCGACTCTCTGTAGATGGACAGTGGGGTCCTTGGTTTTAAAGTGCTGTAATGCACAGTTCCTCTTGGAGGAAGAGAACAGAGGCTCAGACCCCAGATCGCCTCCAAGGTCCCGGTTGCATTATTCATACATTGTGTGATGTCGTGATTGACAGGTTGTGTTCAGTGAGGTGTTGTTTTTTTCAGTTTATTGAATTTTTTTCTAGTGTCCATCTGTGTGTGGCTTCTACTTATTGCATATCAGTGAGCTGGTTCATAGATTTTTCAGTGAACGTGTAAAGCACAAATCTTTAGATTAAAATGTAATAAACTCTTCACTATAATTATAATACATCTTATAATATCTAAGTTACATTCTTATATCTGATTCATTTAGATTATGTAGGCAATATACATTTTGTCACTAACTGCTGATGGCTAACATAGTGGACACCATCACATGGGTCTCTTATCATGACCTGCTGTCTCAGCCCTATGGAACAAGTGTTACACACAGAAACTTTCTTACAAGACTTGAAACTCATTCAACCTCTCCTGAAATAAATCCGACTCTGATCTGCAAAAGCAGCACATAGTTTTCAAGGGACTTTAGTCTTAGTATTTAAAGTTGGCCGTGTGGTCTCTTGTGCCTAATAATCCTTTGTGCTTTCTTTGATTGTATACACTCTGTGTCATACATTTGGTGTTCAGAGCTCCTCTGCGTTTAACCTGCACCCTGGCTGTGGGTGCTAGGAGGCAGAGGTGCTTGTGACAGGTAGAAGGAACGAGGGGGAGAGGCATGGGTCTGACAATCGAAGAGAAAAATACCGCAGTGTCACACTAAGAACTACACATCAACTACAGCACTACACAGTCAGACACACACACGCACGCACGCATGGACGAAAACAAATCAAGATCAAGGTCAGAGAAAATTCACAGCTGAGTAAAACAAAATGACTTGCACGACATTTTCAAGATTCAACCAAAAACAGATCAAAAAAAATCTGGGAGGGTTTTAGGTGGGGGTTGGGGGGTCAAAATCATTACAATCATCTCAACAACACATAAATAGGCATTATGATCACAATAACAGCATATATGAGATGAACTGGCAATCGCAATGTCGAGAAAATCACAAGAACAGTCATTCATAAAGACGAGCTCACGTGAACAGGCAGGTCTTGTTCTTTTTCCTGTGGCTCTGCTCGTCTTCTGTCAACATCGCTGGAGGTGCCAGTCGATGACCTGACCTATAACTTTCACTTAAGACACTGATAACGCTGAGATTTACTAGCATATGATTCAGTCGGCGCAGACTTGGTCGCTAGTGCCGCCACTGTCGTGTTGCAGCTACATCGTTAAAGAAGCACCCTTCAGAAAGATGGATTTACAGTCTGATGTCAGCTGGTCCCTTCTAACTGAATTTATTTTATTTCCAGAACTGTTTGCAGTAGTGCCATAGGTCATTCACTTAAAACTAACTACATTTCTATCATCATTATATGATGATGCTTTATTTGGTCCTTGTTAATAAAACAGCAGGAAACAGGGCGATAAGCTGAGCGACAGACTGAAGGGCACCTCCTCAACACCATGTTAGATCTACACTAGTGTTCCCCTCTGCATACAATAATAAACCTTCATTAATGTGCTGCATTTAAGTTCATACGTTGTTTACTGCAATATAAGATTCCTTCATTTGATATGTCCACATCATCATAACACAAAATCACCACAATATGGATCGAGGGGGGAGCTGGAGAGGTAGGTGTGCAAATAAGCCATCACATACAAAACAAACAAATAAAACATAAAACATAAAAGTTCATATCATCTGCATATGTACAATATAGTTAAGGTGGACACTTTGACACAGAAAAAAACAACACATACATACACCGTATATAGGGCTATACCACCTATATAAAGGAATATTGATAAATAGGTCTCACTCCCACAAAATGATATTGCACTGAAGAAGTTGCATCACACGTCTACAGTGCAACAGTACAAGTTGAAGAGCTGCTTGAACAGTGGGAGCGAGGAAGGAATGTGATTGGACAATACATCTCAAAGTCACCTTGATCTCCGGCAAGATAAACCAATGGCAGGGCTTTAGTGTGGTGGTGCATAAACAAGACGCAACAGGGCTGCTTTCCCCAGCAGCTTAAAGCAAAGAAAACCTCTACAGCAAACAAGCAGAGATGTTTGGTAAAAACAATGAAATCAACATTGGTCCGACTTTCTGATATAGAATCATTTGATCTTTGGGGTCCTGCCACTGAGTTCAAGTTTGGAATAAAGAATTTAAATTTCAGTTTTAACTCATCTGTAAACAACAATAATAATTATGTCTGGATCTAAAGTGTTAGTGGCTTCCACAATAGGTGACTGTACTCATGAGGCCTCAGCAGGAGATGTCCAGCCTTTAATCAGCATCATTACTGAACTTCTACTAATAATCTGGCTTTTCTGTTAAAATTACTATCAAGCCATTTAGTTTTTGCAACTAATTCTTTCATTTGTATTCACAGTGAATCACAGAGAGGAAAAAAACGCAGCTGCTCTGAAACCGTGGATTGATGGTTTTATAGCAGGCCACTCTTTTGGCCACAATCCAATCAGTGATGTGACAGCAGGTGTTTTCCATAATTCCACAAAGGCGAAACCCCCCCACCTGCTGTGACATCACTGATTGGGGTTTGGCCTCAAGTAGATCATGCTCGTAGGTTTCAGTCCTCAGAAAAAAACAACATAGATGGTACTTTTTTTTGGTGATTCTGTGTCGATGTCTAACAATGTTAGCATGCAGACAGTTGGTGCATAATAATGCCGTCTCTTCAGTCCAGTGTGTGACCAGGACAGAGCTTTCTTTTACAAAGGCAGAAACAGTCGAACCATTATGGTAGCACTAACTATCAGATGGAACCTGATCTACTTAAAAAGCCAAGGCAGTCTGCTTGGAGCTGAATGACTCAGTTCATTGCAGCCATTTACAGGAAGGGATGTGGCTTCTCAGGAAAGATCATAGGTGCTGTTATCGCATTAACACATTCCCTGGGTCTTTGGAGATGGAGGCATATATTTTTGCTCTACCCCTAAGTATACTATGTTCTATTAAGACTTAAAATCTGAGAAGAATATTAAATAGCATTTTAGCAGATTTCCTGCAAAGCTAATGGTTTCAAGAATTGTCATTTAGTTAGATATGAGTGACATTTTCAATAGATCACTATGGTCTTTGCTGTGATTCAGAGGCTAATGTTTGGGGAAAAAATACTGCAGGGATTTAACAGCTGCAGCAACCAAGGGCAGCACATCTCCTCTGAAAATTCAACAATCATATTCAAAAAGAGCAATAAAATGTCTTAATTATAAAGCAATGTTCCATTAAATCTTCTACTGATATTTGTGGCTTCATTTCCAGGGAGCTGGTGGAGCACTGCCTACTGGAATTGTGGGTGCCACCACAGGCAGCTTGGCAAACTAATGCTCTCTCCTAAATTATTTCAACATTCAACACAAAAAAAATTGAAAACACAATGAACTGATTGGTCATGCTTTGACCCATTGAAAAAACTTATTTCAGACCGAGTTGATTCCTCACGCAATTGGTGTGATGCATTATGGGAGGGAAAGGCAGAAAGGAAGTGCTTCTTAGTTGTCTTTTTTAGGCAAGAAGCTGAGTATAAATTCACCCACACCCAGGAAGTAGACCACCTGGGCAATGCCGAACAGAGGTGCGATGACCAGGGCTCGACAGTAGGCTCCCTTCAGGAAGGCTGACGGACCCTCATTATGGAGGATTTTCCTAGAGAGCAAAAATGAAAGGTGGTTATATAACACGCAGCCAGCAGTAGTTGTGTGTCAGTAGATATGACGGTGCAGTAAACACCCTGACTGCCTCACACATGGTGCAGCAGTGAAGACACAATGAGGTCACCTGATGCAGTCTGTCACTCCGCTGTACGTTTCCTCTGTGCTTCCTCTGTTCAGGGACTGCAGGCGAGTCTTTATCACTGCAACACACAGAGCTCAGGTGAATATAAAACATCAAGCATCAGTGCGTGCATTCCTGTAACAGTGTTCACGGCCTCGCTGCTCACCATCGACAGGGTTGACGGCAACTGCCGCTGTGCTCCCCGCAAGGCAGCCTGATAAAAATGACACATAGAAAGGAGCGGGGCCATCTGCACCTCTTTTGCCCAGGTTATTCAAGTTGGCAAAAAGTGGGAAATAGATGATGGAGAAAGGGACATCCCTACAAAAAGAGAACAATAAGACAGATGAGTACAGTTTGTCAGAGGTGGTTTGTAAAATCCTGGATTGGCCGATTGTTTTACCTGAGCAATGTCGCACCAAGACCCTTATACAGCCCAGCTATGCCCTTTTCCCTCAGCAGTTCTCTTGTTAGCTGTATGGCTGTTGGTGACTTGGTCTCGACAGTACCTGCTGCCACCGTCTCTGGCATCAGTTTCCGCTGAGCAGCTGTGGAGTCCCACAATATTAATGACAGCAAACTCACAATTTACAGCTATTTGAAATGATAATGGCACTGATGATAATAGCAGTCATTGAGGCAGACATTTTGAAATCATAACAGTAAGAAGAAATTAGGATAAAGGAGTTGTAATCACTAATTTGACCACATGAGGCCACTGTTTGTCAAGTGTATCACAGCTTCATTCTACTACAAAACACCATCTGGATGTCATTTTCTCTTTTGTCTTACCAATTCGTCCAGCATCTTGGAGCTGGATTTTCAACATCTCCATAGGAGTTGTGACAATAACCTAAAAATCAAACAAAACAAAGGACTTTAATACAGTATTAACATATGCACACATCAGTTATATTCATTTGAGAGTCAGAGATTAGGGTTGAATAGCACCGAGTGTGTCAGACAAAATGTGTGTCCAGTGTAAACCTACTGGCAATGATTAGCTAAACGTCAGCTCTTGTTTTCCTCCCTAATCCACACAGTAGTAACTAGTTAACTGGATTAAGGGTGAGATGGCAGTGTTCTCAGCTGCAATCTTAATCCAAGAGCTGCTACACTTAATCTAATCATTCTCCTTGGGCCTGAAGCCTTCGGCCTCATTAACAACAGGCATTTCCTTCTGACTCACTCACTCATGGTCAAGCACTCTCACAATGTCTTATCTGATCACTCACCTCCAGCTGCCATCGTCTCTGACAGCAGCATTTCAGTAATTAGAACTCATTCATGAAAATGGAACATTCAGATCACAGATAGCAGGAAGCACTACAAGCATGTTACTGCAGCGACCACCTCTCGTTTAAACGTAGCTGTGCTTAATTCTACCCTGAGGCAGAGACAAATGGCTGAGGCTCTGTGGTTTGTACGTGAGCTGACATAGGCAGTGAGTTCAAGATGGAGAACAGGAGGATGGATTTAAAGCAGCATCTCACTCACTCACCTGGCATGTACCTGCCCCACATCCAGCCAGCATCTCCTTGAATAGAGTTAGTTTTCTGAGACACACAATAAAAAGATCAGATTAAAAGCAGACACCTGACGTGTGAGAGTCAGGAAAGTTTATTTCCACACTTCTGGAAAAAAGGAGCTGACACTAACTGTGCTGGTAATGCTAATCTTTCCACATCAACATGTCAGGCACAAGGGCAGATTAATAATTCACAAGTTGAGCAGCTAGACCAGGCAAGTCAATCATTCATCAGCCCACATGTTTGTCGCCATAGAGATGGAGATAGATGCCCCAGAAGCCTTTAGGTTTATCTATGCAGAAAGTACTCATGGGTGCTCAGTCGGTTCAAGCAACATGTGATACCATTGTGTGATCATTTTGATTAGTGACGTGATTTCAGACCAGGCCTCTGTTGTCACACACACACACGTGAGTCTAAACCATACAGTCAACAAAACACCATGTAAAGCTTGGTGCCTTGGAGGAGATGACAGAGCAGTGGCGGATTAACTGGAGCCCTGGTGAGAATGCAGACAGCTAATGTGTCAGGTTACATGTTAGTAAACACGGCAGTTAATCACAGCGTGAATGAATGAAGGGAGCGGGTACGTGTCACTCCGCCTGTCAGCACATTCATGCCTCACCCATCCTTAGAGAGGTGCTGCCTGAAGAAGTCGTTAGCAGCCAATTTGATGGCCTTCTCTGGCGTGACTAGTGTTAAGTTCACCGCCGCTCCTGGGAGGATAAAAAGGACAGAGACCAAGAAAGATATTTAGATGAAAAGTAAGAATCTCATGCTACCTAACACTTCACCCATTAATCACAAGAGTCTCCTGTAGGGCTTGGCAATAAAACAACTTCAACAATTATCGCAATATGATTTTCTCAAGAGCAATAGAACACAGGTTAAATATATATTGATAAAATGCCTATGCACTGTATAAACACAGTAACGTATAATATGAATGAGATCTGAAAATGTTTTGTTATTTTACAAAGAGAAAAAAATTCTGCTTTTAATTTATAAAGAATTATAATTCTATATAAATATCGACTGTGAAAAATGTTGTCTGAATATAATATTTTGACCATATCGCCCCTAGTCTTCTCACGCAATTGGTGTGTCAAAGTTAAAAACGTACCTCGATACATCCCAAAATACCCCTCTGACCGGATGGTCTTAATAAGGCAGTCTGACCTGAAACACAAATACAGCAGATGGTATGTCAGTCAAACAGCTGCTAACAGGATGTGCAGAGAATCTGATGATGAATTGGGTGTTTCTGCGATTTAATGTGTAAATGTAAAATACAGAAGTCTCATACATGCTGGTGTAGAGGCGAGATCCATTTTGCTGGTTTTGCAAGCGAGTCTTGGCCAGGTCAATGGGAAACACACAGGTCACTCCAATCAGGCCAGCGATCCCCCCATTGATCAATTTGGCAGGCAAACTGGGTGAAGGTGATGATGATGATGATGATGATGAAAGAGACAAAAATCATGAAGTGTGAAAGATTGCTAGATAAGATCAAGGCTGTAGTGCTGTTTATAATCTTTCTGGTTGTTTCACACTCAACCTTACCTGATTTGCTTGTCAGCCATTTATCTGAAGCCCCGGCAGATCAAAGTGCTAATCTGTGTGTCAGCCAGTCACCCAGTGGTCGTCCTTTTTTTATTGCTGTTTGTTACAGTGCCGTGCTTCTGTCCAACAGGGGGTGTTTGTAGTCTGATGATGCTTTGCTCACTTGTTTCCTTGTGGTTATTGTGAATGTAAATTCGGGGATATCTGTAAAGAAATAGGAAATCAACTGTTAAACATCTTTCAACAACAAATCAGAGGTTTGGTACATTTCAAAAGGTAGGATTAAGCAATATTTCTTTCACAAACATTACAACATAGACTTGCTTTAGTAAAAAGATGGCACACCACCTCAAATACACTGTAAAAACTGAAAATGCATCAAAAATATCAATGTCAATAATATCAGTTGTTTGGAGCTGCAACTAATGTACTGTTTTAAATATAAATTAGGTTCTCAGTTAATACTTTGGAGTCATTGAAATACCATAAAACAGAGGGAGTTTCTCAGAGTTTAACAAAGTCCAGGGTGTTGGGATCAAATTATTTGTCTTAATTTTTAGTGTGATCAACGAAAATGTGTGTATATAAACCCAAAAGGAAAAAGAACAAGAGATCATAAAAGCCTGGATCATAAAAAGCCTGTTCAGAAAATGTGGATTTCAGGGGGCCAATGCTGATATTAGGGAGTAAAACATTTTAGATACAAAAAGATTATGACAAATAACTATACATACAATACACAAATACAACCATATATTTAGAACTTTATTTACTTTATTTTCATTTATTATTCTTTATTCTAACTTTTCATATCTGTGCATATTGTGGAATATCTGTGAAAGGCTCATATCAGCCAAAGTTATCCAAATCAGTTGGGCTTCACTAAAAATGCTGGTAAGTGTGTATGGGGAAAAATGGGGTTTTGCAGAATGATTATGTAAAAGCCTGTCCACTGATGTTTGGGGCCTCTGGGAGAGTCAGAGGAACATTTGACTTAATTCCCAGGTATGATGTGGACAAAACCAAATACAGCCTTCAAGACAAGGAGGGAAGCAAATAAATTCGATCAAATGTGGCCTAAGATGAATGCAAACAATATCCTCAACACATAAAAAGGCCTGTTTAACACAGATTTTACACGGCCAACTTAAAATCAAGTCTAGGAATCATTATCAGAAACTGCCTGGTGTGCTGTAGCCCAAACCAGTTACTGCAGCTCAACACAGTTCAGTGAAAGCACCTCTTCCAAACCCACAAACATTAAGACACATAAGACAAAGAAATGCAGCAAAATCTCATAACTGAGGAGCTGGAATGAAAAAGCATTGACATTGTCGATCAATGAATCAATCCAAAAGGGGATTACTAAGAACCCTGGCCCTCTTAAATAGCACACAATAGCATTCCCATAGTAAACCACAGTTCAGGATGATACTGTAACATTCTGACAGCTCCCTCAAGTTAGAGCTTTAAGCGATCACTGAAGAGATTAACACATTATTAAAGAAATCTATCACCACTGGAGCATCTGTGTGTCACGCGTGCCCTTGAATTGAGATGCTTTATGCATAAGCTCTTGCAAACTGGAGAGATGCAGGAGAAAATCCCCCCCCCCCTTTATGCTAAAATGATCATTTAGAGCAAACAGATGATGTGGCTATGAAGCTACCTATTTTTGGTACAGTACAGAACACCCTCAGAGTGAAAAGATGCTTCCCATTTCCCCCTTTCATTCTCTCCACCCCCTTCATCCACCAATCACAACCTGCCTGTGCGTGTGCAACCTGCCTCCTCCTCTCTCCTCCTCACCAGCCCTCCCCCATCGTTTCCCTCAGTCACGAGTCACGACTCTCAAACGCAGATTTTCTGCCTCAGATCTCTGCTGACTCGTGGGTTTTGTGTTTGTGTAAGTGTGCATGTGTACACTTGTGTGACAATAACATCAGTAATTCTTTGGGAACGGTTTCGTGGAGACTGCACAGCGTGCGTGGATGTTTAGGTGTCTTGGCGGGCATGAATGCAGCTGTGGAGTGTTTGGTTTGGATGGGGACTTGAGGCCCTTGCTGGCGGCTCCAGTGGTGAAGGAGGGAGGGGGGGTTTCAGAGCAGGTCAGCGAGCCGCCTCGGTTCTCTCTAGCGAATGAGTGGGCGTTCTTCTCTCAGCTCTTCACAGCTTACCTCCATGGCTCATCTCCCTCTGACTGTACATCGACCTTGCAGTTTTCTCACACGGCAACGATACTGAGCACTCAACTCATCTCCCTGCACGCTACTTTTGTTTCCCTATTTCCTGTAACTGACTTCCTCTTGAGTAGTGAGCATGTTGTTAACTCCACAGTCAGCACTCTGGCTTCTCTTTAAACCACAATTCACGAAAGACTATATGTTATCTTAGTGATAAGGCTGAGGGGAAAATGTATGGGGTGGTAAGGAGCACTTCACATGAGTCACCCATCAAACTGACATCTCCCACGTTCTTCACTATGCCTGCAGCTTCACTCCTCTGCTTCGCTTCATCTACACCACACAACTGTGTCCACACTATGACATTTATTTGACCCTGGGCCATAGCCTCACTGTAGTGTCTTGTCATGACCATTAGAGTCTGTATGCAGAAAACTATCCTCAGGGTGCAGCGTCCGCAGCACAGTGACCACTCTTCAACCAAATGGACAGCACAAAAATATCTGGTGATTCTTGTCTCCAGACCCCACGTCCCCACATCAATAAATCACATTTACAATCATTGTCTGTGTTTTCACTTATTTATCAAATCACTTAGATCTTATAAGAGGAGAGTCTGACCAGACAGGATCAACAAGACAACACAACAGATTAACATAGAACTAAAACCTCTTTATCAAACCATTCCACCACAAGTGACTTTAAACATTTACTCACACACACACAAACACATTCACACAGAGGTCATATTTTGAGTTTGAAACCTCTACAGCAGATAAGAACTGATGAGTAAACAACAGACAAGGTGATTGTGTAACTTGCCTGCCATGTAAAACCTTGAACCTAAAACTTCCACAGACACAGTCCATTAAAGATATTGTGGAGTCCGGACGCCGACAGGCAGATAACATCTCTGTTCTGACCCTTGTTCACCATTTTAACATGAACAATGAGGCTATAAACACTGGCTCACTGACAAGGAGATATGTGTAAAAACCTTGTCAGTGAAGCAACATGTGGGGGTAGAGAATAAGATTCTAAAGTCCTTTTAGATTCCAACAAAACTTTAGATTACAATGTACTTCTCTAAGGTTAAGTGCTTGATTGTATTGTATACTATTCAATTCAATTCAATTTGATTTGCCCCAAATCATAACATACATTATCTCAAGAAACTTTGAGAGTGGGGCAGATAAATAAATACCACTTGTGAACGACACCATTCATGACACAATGATGTAATAAGGTGTCAAACACTAATAATAATCATAAATATGAAATTACTTTCTTTTAAAAACCTGTTGATTATTATGTAGGTGACGCGAATGAACACCAAGTCTACAATGTTTTAGTATTAGCTTTAATATTAGTAATAGTACATATTGCGCAGTTAGATATAGCACATATATATATATTAGCTCCAAATACTAAAATGTCCTATTTACCTTTTCTAGATCTTCTAATATAACTTATAATAATAAAAATGAATTTTCTCAACAAACACTAATCCAATCGACTTCAAACTTACTGAGGAATTGCAGCATTGATGTTCTCACGACCCTTTTATCATCAACCCTCATTCAATGTGGGGTTGTTATTAGTATTTATATATTGCTGCACATTCTGTTAAAACTGTTTCGGGCATCATCAGAAACTTTGATTTTGGGAAGACATCAGAGACTGTTCCTTTGTGAGTTAGTAAACAGTACCCATTACTCCAAACTAAACTAAACTATTCACAGGCACTTTTTGAACATGCACTGTACTAAGATTAGAGTTGAAAATTTTTCAACTTGATGAAGTAATTCAGCTGTCAAATGCATGCATATGTTTGGTTCATAAATGCATTCAATTTAAACAAAGGAATATTTCACCAGCAATGCAACAACATGTATGCTACAGTATGGATGTGAAAGATGAATATAAACCTGTGAATACTAAATATCTGGAGAAAAATCCACCCTGAAATCAAATATGTCAAATATACTCCTCCCATTCAAATAACCCAGAGAAAATTCTATCTCATCCTTGGCTGCTTCTCTGTCATCGAGTGCCAAACAGAGTAAAGGTCTTGCTGACTAAATGACAGTGAATGGGGTGACTGATAGGAGGACGTGATGCAGGAGGACAGTACAGTGACAAAGCACTGAGGTAGCACTCGGCTCACATGACTGTGGCTGGACCGAAAGACAAATGAAAATCACATGAGTTTCTCATTAGCTGAGAGAAGAGGCTGTTATTACCAGCCCATCTGTCTCACATGAACCGGGTTGATTAACTCACACTGAGCAGATCACAACAGGATCTGCACTGAGGTCTGTTTACAGACACTATAGTGTTGAGTACTTCTTGTGCTACAAGAACACAGTGGCCAGATCTGATATAAAACTCAATCTGTCCAATGTTACTGTCCTCTATTCATTATTTTCCACTTAAGTATTCATTTGTGGTAGTATTTAAGTCTATTGTAAGGCTATGAGCTACTATTATATGATTCAGCTAAATTAATATAGTCCTTGTGTATATTTGTTGCATCAGTGTATTTTTTTAAATAGTTCTTTTTGCAGCTGTGTATTTACCGCTCTTCACAATAAACCCGACAGCTGCTATGAAGCCGTCATCAACATTTTTTTTTCATAGTGATGATTTAAAAGATGTGGTCTATTTTTGGACAATGTGGAAACAAGGGATGAGTTTTGTGGTGTCACAGATAAATCTGATTACTCTTCCCTACAGCATCAGGATTATAGACCTAATACCTACTTATGAAAGCTCTCTCGCAATCTCCACTTACAACCAGTGAAGGCAGAGTTATGATCTGGAGACATGCAATTCTTTTCCAATACAGGTGCTCCAATACTCTGAGCTGATACTCTGTGCAGGGAGATGGTGTAGAGTTTAGTCCCTCCTCTGACTACACATGTATCCCCGCTGGCCCAGTTTCTAAAAGTCACCTGGGTGTTTTCTCTTGTGTCTCCTCTGTTTTGCCTCCATCTTAGCTTTCCTGCAGCTTTGATGGGGGGAATGATAATACCACTATCAGTGAACTTTCCTTAGAAAGAACGCCAAATGGCATTTGATTACAGTTGTCAAATTACAGTAACACCTTGAATGGCCTGAAAGTCTGTAACTTTTCGAGCAGCATCTTCCCACCAGTATGTAATTTCTATTCAGTGCGCATATGCCTGTGACATTTAACAGTCCTTGCCTCTGGATTTCTTAAGCTCATATGCCTGTAGCCCTACATGCTGATTAACAAAATATGAAACCTAAGGTTGTTGCTTTTACTTATGAATGAAAGTAGCGCAATGTTTTCAGCATCACAGCCAAAAGGGTTCAACATTTCAACCGGAAAGCACAAAGGATGAGTCACCTTACACCCAAGAATGGCTCGCCTCATCAATTATTTGAAGGCTGCAGGGATGCTTTAATACATCCACTGCTTGGCCTTATCATGACCTACATACTACCACTAATACACAAGTAACTGTGGGGAAAATAAGTGCGTCCTTTGAAAGCATGCAGGTTTGTCCATCTGGCACCTTATTCTGCAGTTAATAACCCTCCTATGTGTACTGAAGTAGAGTCTGACCAATATGGATTTTTTTAGGTTTATGCCGATACTGATATTGAGAAGTAAAAAATTCCTAAAACTGACAGCTTGGCCAATATTAAAAAAATTACCTATGATTCCCAAGAAATTTCAATCAAATCTTTATGACAAAGAAATGTGAATTAAGAGATGCACATCTATTCTTCATTGTTTAATCTGTTAAATAAAAGTTTTCATATCGGCGTGTATCGGCAAACTTAAACCGATACACTGTGCAAGGCTATCACGAACAATCACCGATCGGGCTCCAGTGTAAAGGAAAGTGGGTGAAATGTAAAGGGCCTCCATCATAAGGGATATTGAGAAATGTTAATCATATTTTTTATTGAAAAGCTTGATTTTGCATTAGTTTGATTCTCTAATATGTTAAGTTAGTGTGTTTGTCAGGTAGTGTAGTTTCACTCTGTAAACACAAATGCACATCTTCTCTGCGTTGTTTCACTCAGTTTTCTTTGCAGGACACAGACGAGGCTGGAATACACAGAATTATGCACCTCTACTGTGGCTAGAATGTCAGTGCAATGTTTATGGTAAGAATATAGGACGAGATGGGGAATATCCCTTGTTTGTTTGAAGGTCTTCTGCACAAAGTTACCAACTACCATTAGATGTTAGCAGCGGATGTTGGGGACATAACTTCAGTTGTGCACCATAGCGTCTTCAAGTATTTTGGCCTTGCAATCTACGATACAGGCCGAACCATGAGGGTACGCTGAGGCTAAAGGTAAATATAACTGGCTACTGGCTTTTATGGCAGCACTATGGAAGCCATGTGGCTGCTCAGTAGATAAGACATCATTACCTCTGTGATTTTAAAACTAAACGCTGTCCCATTTTAGAACATAGGACAATATGGAGAACATCCCTCTACCACACTAATCAATGCCTTCCACCAGTTGATGTTATTGAATGTTGGGGACATTTCTTCAGTTGTGTATAAAAGTGGCATTTATCGGCAAACATGTAAAATGCTGACATCGACTGATGTTATCGTCCAACCAATACATCAGTCTGTCTCCAGTATAAAAAGAAGAGTGGGTGAAATATAAAGGGACTCCATCAGGAGAGATATTGAACATTAATGAGCATATATTGTATTTAAATGCTTCATTTTTCATTAGTTTGATTGTCTGACATGCTCAGTCAGTCAGGAGGCGCAGTGTCACTTCTCTGCACCGGTGTTATAAAGGAGGTGGGCACAGTGAGGTGGCTTCAGCCTCCACCACCATCACCTCCCAGCCTCACGCTGACAGCTACGTCCCCCGCAGGGAGCGCTCACCGCCGGCACAAGGCGGCTGCCGCGGCCGCCTGGAGCTCCCGGAGAAAAACTGGCCCCGGCGATTCCGGGTCACAGGGAGAAAAAAGAACAAGCAAACATCCGGACAAGCAGCCAAACTTCACATGACACGAATGAATGAATGACAAAGAATATTTCTGTCAAGCGGCCCGCGCGCTTTTAAACGTAGAGACATCACGAACCACAGTCACACGTCAAATCTAACGTGAAGCAGCCGCGGTGACGACACTTAGCAACAAGGCCCGACGGTTACACACACAAGCCCCGTTAAAATAAACATGTCTTTCTCACACAACGGGAAAATGACGCGGCTGTGCGGTGCTAGCATCTCTTCATGTTGCCTTAATCTCGGTTTTCCGATAAATCTGACTAAACACGTCGCTTCCAGCACAAGCAGCAGCTTCCACCGAGTCCCGTTATGTTACATACCGCACGGGAAGAGGCGTCTCCGCTGTCTGCGCTGTCCTGGCCGGGATGAGACGAGGAATCAGAGCCGAGCTTCTCTCTGACAGACCGACTGCTGCAGCTAAACTACCCACCTACACACCTACCTACCGGGGGTACGAGCGACTGAGTCCGGAGGAGGAGGAGGAGGAGGAGGAGATGGTGCGGAGAGAAAGAAACCAGTGTGAATAGGGATTTAAAGAATGGGGTCCCCTGGTGGCGTGTAGTAGAAGCACACGTTAGGTTTTTATACGCAGTGGATGTGTAAAGTGTGGGGGGGGGGGATGTGGTCGTGGCGTCATCGTGACGTCTCATCTCAACCCCTAATGTCCTTGAATGTAAAAATAGAAAATGTGCAAATATCAGTGGATGAATGGGGGCAAGCAGCAGTGACGTTTTAAAACTGTTTGAGACTGCAGGGTGGGGGAAAATACAAAGTGGAAAGAAACCATGCAGTATTTTTGTTTGTATGTTTTACTTACTGGAAATATTAGATTCATACATTAGAAAAATCAAAAGTGTCACTGAGTCTGTGCTGAAGCTCAACTGGTTGCTCAGCGACCAAAGGCACACATGGAGGATGTTTTAATCGACTGTAAAAACTGCCTCGTCCTGCACGTTGACGGTTTTTCAGACCTCTGAGATTGTCCCAGAGCTTCCAGTGTTTGCTCTGCTGCTTATCTGTCCTGGACAGGTACAAATGAATCATGTGGAGGACAAGAAATGAAACAAAAGGTAAGGCATGGTGAAAGGATACAAATAAATACGTTGTTTGTGTTATTAAACAAGAAGATGAGATACCATCAATTATGAAATATTAAGGCAATTTTGAGATACTGGGTCATGATTATGAGATACCTTCACATCTATGAGTTAACATACTTATACATAATATAGATGATGTTTTAATTGACAACTGATATCAAACCAGTTATGCAATATTGAGCCAAAAGGCCAAGGGCTCCACGTAATTATGAGATACTAAATGAAAATAACACTTAAAGGTCCAGTGTGTAAGATTTAGGTGAAAGGGATCTATTCGCAGATATTTAATGTAGAATAATCCTCATGATGTTTTCACTAGTTCATTTCATCTAAATTGTATGAATTGTAGTTTTCTTTACCCCAGAAAAGACCCTTTATATTTAAATACTTTATATTTACATCGAGGGGACCCTCTCTACAGAGGCTGCCATGTTTTTTTACATTAGTCCAGACTGGACAAACTAAACACTTTTTGAGTTTTTATAACAACTAAAGGCTACCACAGGTTCTTTTTCACTTTTGGAAGTAGAGGGTGAGATGAGGGGTGTTCAGCTGCAACATGCAATTTCAATACTAGATATCACAAAATTCTACACACTGTACCTTTAAGAGTACACAGAGAATATGCAAACTCCACAAAAATGACCCTGGTCGAAATAGGACTCAAAAACCCAGAAACCTTCTTGCTGTGAAGCGACAATCTACCCACTGCATCACTGTGCCACCAACCTAATCCTGACTAAGACACAATTATTCAGTACCTGTATATGATGTCCAAATGAGTAAGTCAAAATTGTCGCTTGGTATCTGATAATTAATTCCAAAGCATAACTTTTCATATTTTGATTGTTCTCAGCAGAAACAAGCTGTTATAGCATCAACTTGCATATTGAGACCATTTCACAAAAGAGTGGTAAGTGTGGAAAATAAAGTCACAGATGATCATCTTCTTGCAGTTCTTCCTATTTGCTTGTTCCTCTCCAGGGTATATGAGAAGCTGCTGCCAGCTGGTAGCCGGCTATCATGATCGTGAAGAGGAGAGTTTTGCTCTCCAAGCCAGTTGTTTCGACAGCAGGACGAGATGATGGGGGCGCACTCTAAACAAACAGGTTACTCAAGTGTACGACAGCCATCTGTAGCGAGCGCTGCCTCATCTACTGCTGTGCTTTCTTCAAGGGGGGAGCTGTCTGCTTCCAGGCCCAATCTCCTCAGTGACTGTGAGTACTTTCTCCTTCCTATGCTGACAATGTCCTCAATCTCATCCGCGAGGTCTCTCCTGCCGCTCTCTATCATAGCATCCACCAGCTTGGACACAGCCCCTGGACCTGCCTTCCTTGCCCAGTGGAACAGCATGTTCAGCACCAGTGCTCCCAGGTTGTCCCTGGTGGAGAGAACAGGGCATACACAAGACATTTTACATTATGTCTCCAGCTGCAGTGATAAATTATGTAAGTGTTCCTTCATTGAAATCTTATACACAAAACCATCAAAACACTGTATTTATAGAATTTTACATAAGGTATAATTATCTCCGCCACCTCCGGGATGTGATAGAGGAGGCTTTCTGAGCGTGACTGGAAGGGGGAGGGCCAGATGAGCATCAGTCTGTGTGTAATCTCCTGCAGTGTCCCAGATGGCTTAGTGATGGCTGACAGTGCAGATTAAAACAATCAAAATTCTCTGCCATTTCTCTCCCCCTGCGGTTTCCTTCAATCACATAACATCCCACTACATGTCGTTCCCTGCGAGGCTCCGGCTGTGCAAACACACGTGCACTGATTACATTCTCTTATGTAAAGTAGTTCTGCTGCAGTTTTACACTTTTCAATCTACCCTACGTATTGTTAAAGTTCCAGAACAGGTTAATGTTTACTTTCCCATCATAATTGAGATCTGCTTTTACATGAATGTGAATCTAACCTCTTAAACTCTTAAATGGTTGGTCTTTCACTGACAACAATTGTTCAAACACCATTTTATTTAATTTTACTGAATATATTGAAGTTTTCAAAGAAACCAAATATGTCAGGCTGAATTACAGTTTGGCAGAGTGGGGATATAACTATATGAAAGTTCAGTGAAGGAATGTTTGACTGGACAGGATGCAGTATATCATTCCAACCTGTGTTTATACTGGATGTGGTCCAACTCCTGGTAGCTTAGGCCAAGATTGATGCCAATAACACGCCAGTCGTGTCCTATCTGAAGGGAAATGGACAGCAGATTGGCCTCTGTCAGATAGCCGCTCTCGGGGTCACCCAGGTTCAGAGGAGGATATTGTTTCTCCTCCATGATGTAACTGTTGTCGGAGTTTAAAGCCTATGGAGGAAAAACAGGGAGGAGGCCATTCATGCAGGTTTTGGTGTAATAACAAGCATTCATTTTGTTGCCTTGGTTGAAAGAAATACACATCTAGTTTTGATGCTAAATAATAATTTGAATTTAAAGGAACATTGTACATAAAAATTATGTAAACTGATTCATATCCTGTCAAAAAATACTAAATCCTATCAGTTATCATATGAAATAAGGAAAAAAGCATGCATCACATCCACTGACAGGAAGCCTTAGCGGCAAAGTTGCAAGCCACTGGCTGTCGTCTCCTTTTCTCTTTCTCGCCACTTCCTCTGGTAGATGGTTGGGAATGTCCCCTCTATAAAAAGATACCTGCAACACAAAGGGGGAGGGACAAAGCAAATTGTCAGTGTGTTGCAAACAATACTTTCAAACTGATTAATGGCACAAAATATTAGAAAAGATTATAAACCTTGAAAATCTACAATGGATTAGGATCAACAAAGTCAGCAACAGTAATGCTTTTAGTATTTGTGCAGCCTCTGTTTTACAAAGTGTATGGTCTGTAACGTTTTGCTTGTTTTTATACTGTAGGTGAGGTTGCTCTGTCCACTATGTCATCTGGATAAGAAAGTTACACAACGTGACTTTGATTTTACACATACAAAAAGAAGACTATGTTTTCAGCTGCTGCACTTTCTTGTCTTCTGATTATAAAGTTTGTCTTACTTGTCCCCTCACTGGCCCCTTCTGACCCTGAGCTGGACAGATGTACACTTCCTTCAGATTCTTCAGGCTGGAGTAAAACACAAAACACAGTCTTCCTTGCACACAGTCTGGTCTGTCTGGATGAAACAGGAAAACATCATCATTAACACTTCGAACAAAAAAAAAAAAAAAGAAGCTGTTACAGGACAATTACTACACAGCAGCCCTACACAGGCCCTTGGAAGGAAAAGGAACAAGGGAAAATAACTGTTTATTTAAGAGAGAGACTCAAAGAGGACTTCAAACCTGTGCTGATATCCAATCCCCTCTCAAAGCCGGCGAAGAACTGCTCTCCTTCAAGTAGGTCACACAGGTCTGACGGCTGAGGTCCATCATACTGCTCAGACAACGACTGAACTCTGCCTTCCACCTAGACAGGAAACATCCCTTTCAGTTTAGCATTAAAGGGATAGTTCACCCAGAAATTAAAATTTCACTCATTATTTACTCACCACTTTGCTGATGGAGGGGTCCACAAAACAGGGTTAAAAAGTGTTGCAGCAGAATCCAATACAATTAAAGTAACTGGTGACCAAAGCTTCAGACGTGATAATACAACAGAAAAAACTTATCATGCCTCCATACTGCTGAATGCACATTTCAGTGGACATTTAGGCTTAAAACACAATGGAAATGAGGCCTTTTCGAGTCGAATTTGAATGTCGGGCTTGTGGACACTTGTATGACACCACACGCTGTATGACGCCGTATGGAAGCTTGTTTTTTCTGTTGTTTTATTACGTGTCAAACTTTGGTCACTAGTTACTTCAATTGTATTGGACTATGCTCTAACACTGTTTACCCCTGAGACTCCTAAAGTGTTTTAACACTTCACCCACCCCTCCAACGACATAGTGGTGAATAACTATCCTTTTAAAGGTACAGTGTGTAGAATTTGTGATATCTAGTGTTGAAGTTGCATGTTGCAGCTGAACACCCCTCACCTCACCCTCTCCTTCCAAACATGAAAAAAAACCTGTGGCAGCCTTTAATTGCCATAAAAACTCAAAAGKTGTTTAGTTTGTCCAGTCTGGACTAATGTAAAAAACATGGCGGCCTCCGTAGAGAGAGTCCGCTCAATGTAAATGTAAAGTATTTGAATATAAAGAACCTTTTCTGGGGTAAAGAAAACTACAATTCATACAATTTAGATGAAACGAACATAATGAGGATTTTTCTACATTAAATTTCTGCCAATAGTTCTCTTTCACCTAAATCTTACACACTGGACCTTTAGTGCATTAACATTACACTGACATTCACACAACAGTGGAGGTGCAGAAATACATCACTGAACACAATGCTGGATGGTTTGTGGAATGGGAAATGCAACAATTAATTATGTACAATGCACTACCAAGAGC